TTATTGGTTTCTGTGACTTGGCCCATTAATGGTACTGTGACTTGGTCCATTAATGGTACTGTGACTTGGTCCATTAATGGTACTGAGACTTGGTCCATTAATGGTACTGTGACTTGGTCCATTAATGGTACTGTGACTTGTCCCATTAATGGTACTGTGACTTGGTCCATTAATGTTACTGTGACTTGGTCCATTAATGGTACTGTGACTTGGTCCATTATTGGTACTGTGACTTGGTCCATTAATGGTACTGTGACTTGGTCCATTAATGGTACTGTGACTTGGTCCATTATTGGTACTGTGACTTGGCCCATTAATGGTACTGTGACTTGGTCCATTAATGGTACTGTGACTTGGTCCATTAATGGTACTGAGACTTGGTCCATTAATGGTACTGTGACTTGGTCCATTAATGGTACTGTGACTTGTCCCATTAATGGTACTGTGACTTGGTCCATTAATGTTACTGTGACTTGGTCCATTAATGGTACTGTGACTTGGTCCATTAATGTTACTGTGACTTAGCCCATTAATGGTACTGTGATTTCGCCCATTAATGGTACTGTGATTTCGCCCATTAATGGTACTTTGACTTGGTCCATTAATGGTGCTGTGACTTGACCAATTAATGGTACTGTGACTTGGCCTATTAATGGTACTGTGACTTGGCCCATTAATGGTACTGTGACTTGGCCCATTAATGGTACTGTGACTTGGTCCATTAATGGTACTGTGACTTGGTCCATTAATGTTACTGTGACTTGGTCCATTAATGGTACTGTGACTTGTCCCATTAATGGTACTGTGACTTGGTCCATTAATGTTACTGTGACTTGGTCCATTAATGGTACTGTGACTTGGTCCATTAATGGTACTGTGACTTGGTCCATTAATGGTACTGTGACTTGGTCCATTAATGGGACTGACTTGGCCCATTAATGGCACTGACTTGGCCCATTAATGGTACTGTGACTTTGCCCATTAATGGTACTGTGACTTGATCCATTAATGGTACTGTGACTTGGTCCATTAATGGTACTGTGACTTGGTCCATTAATGGTACTGTGACTTGTCCCATTAATGGTACTGTGACTTGGTCCATTAATGTTACTGTGACTTGGTCCATTAATGGTACTGTGACTTGGTCCATTAATGGTACTGTGACTTGGTCCATTAATGGTACTGTGACTTGGTCCATTAATGGGACTGACTTGGCCCATTAATGGCACTGACTTGGCCCATTAATGGTACTGTGACTTTGCCCATTAATGGTACTGTGACTTGATCCATTAATGGTACTGTGACTTGGTCCATTAATGGTACTGTGACTTGGTCCATTAATGGTACTGTGACTTGGCCCATTAATGGTACTTTGACTTTGCCCATTAATGGAACTGTGACTTGGTCCATTAATGGTACTGTGACTTGATCCATTAATGGTACTTTGACTTACTCCATTAATGGTACTGTGACTTGGCCCATTAATGGTACTGTGACTTGGTCCATTAATGGTACTGTGACTTGATCCATTAATGATACTGTGACTTGGCCCATTAATGGTACTCTGACTTGGCCCATTAATGGTACTGTGACTTGGTTCATTAATGGTACTGTGACTTGACCCATTAATGGTACTGTGACTTGGTCCATTAATGGCACTGTGACTTGATCCATTAATGGTACTGTGACTTTGTCCATTAATGGTACTGTGACTTTGTCCATTAATCGTACTGTGACTTGGCCCATTAATGGTACTGTGACTTAGCCCATTAATGGTACTGTGACTTGGTCCATTAATGGTGCTGTGACTTGGCTCATTATGGTACTGTGACTTGGCCCATTATGGTACTGTGACTTAGCCCATTAATGGTACTGTGACTTGACCCATTAATGGTACTGTGACTTGGCCCATTAATGGTACTGTGACTTGGCCCATTAATGGTACTGTGACTTGGTCCATTAATGGTACTGTGACTTGGTCCATTAATGGTACTGTGACTTGATCCATTAATGGTACTGTGACTTAGTCCATTAATGGTACTGTGACTTGGCCCATTAATGGTACTGTGACTTGGTCCATTAATGGTACTGTGACTTGGTCCATTAATGGTACTGTGACTTGATCCATTAATGGTACTGTGACTTAGTCCATTAATGGTACTGTGACTTGGTCCATTAATGGTACTGTGACTTAGTCCATTAATGGTACTGTGACTTAGTCCATTAATGGTACTGTGACTTGGTCCATTAATGGTACTGTGACTTAGTCCATTAATGGTACTGTGACTTAGTCCATTAATGGTACTGTGACTTGGTCCATTAATGGTACTACTACTTGTTCCATCATCTGTATTTTAAGTTGTTCTTGCTACGGTGCTCTGACTTGTTCCACCTACGTGTGGGAAAGCAAGCACACTTGAGTATGGCGGAGAACGTTTATCAAAGAAAACGTTTCGCCACGAATTGGCTTCGTCAGTCACTCGTGGCCAAACGTTCCCTTTCATACACATGAAGAACCGTAAACAAGTGCCCTATTCCCAAGCGGTTTGCTGTCATTATCCGTGACATTCACAGCCTCTTCCGGCCATGGTACTGTGTACGGTAATCCCTTCACTGTTCTCAGTATCTTATATCTAAGATACTTTCGTAGTAATTCTCCGTCTCAGTTTCGGAATAGAATTCGTTGCCGCTGTAGGTCGCCGGTACGCCGGGGACGGAAGGTTGGTGGGGTACGGTGCGAAGCACAACATTGTTGTTAACAGCGGCTCTGTCCCGGGTGGCTGCCAAGGCCCCTGTGTAGACGGGCGAGAAGGGTAAAAATTAATGACAATTAATAGTGTTGTTGTTGCTATTATTAGTAGTAGTAGTAGTACTAGTTGTAGTAGTACTGTTATTATTATCATTATTATAACATAGGCTACACGAGGGTCTTTAAGAACATAAAGGAGGAACATTGCAGTAGGCCTGTTGGCCCATACTGGGCAGGTCCTTCACTAACAGAATATTTGCCCAACCTATTTTCAAGTATTCCCAAGCATGTCACCTGTTCACCACTACATAACAAGACTCTAATCCTTAAAATGATAATGAAAATGAACACTCAGTCTACAAACGCTGAGAGACATGCACATCAAAGGTGTATGTTACATCCATGTAGCAGCCGGTAGGAACTAAATAGCGTATACCGCTGTAAGTTACAACCTAAGGGAAAAGGGAAGAGGAGGGGAGGAATTCAGTGCCCTTAGGACACTTCTATGAGAAGAGGATGACAGCTTTTAGCTTCTAAATTGAACGATGTAGACGCGCCTTCAATGACACGGAGATGAGGATCACCTTTGTTCAGTGCGAGTTGGGCTGTCTGACGCCGTAGGGAGAACACAAACACCAGAACAATGTTGATGATAATGGACACCGTCAGCAACCCCAAGCAAACGTAGAAATAGAGCCGAGAATTTCCCAGTGTGGTCACCAGGGGAACTGTGCACGTCTTGATATTCACCTCGTCCCTCTTACACTCTAGTGAAGTTATTATTATTATTATTATTATTATTATTATTATTATTATTATTATTATTATTAGTATTATTATTATTATTATTATTATTATTATTATTATTATTATTATTATTATTATTATTATTATTATTATCATTATTATTATTATTATTATTATTATTATTATTAGTATCATTATTATTATTATTGTTGTTGTTGTTGTTGTTGTTGTTGTTGTTGTTGTTGTTGTTGTTGTTGTAGTAAAGTGTGGTACAGTGTAGTAAAGCGTTATACAGTGTAGTGAAGTGTGGTACAGTGTTCTAAAGTGAGGTGCAGTATACTAATGTGTGGTATAGTGCCGCAAGGTGTAGTACAGTGCAGTCAAGTGTGGTACAGTTTAGTAAAGTGTGGTACAGTGTATTAAACTGTCTTACAGTGTTGTACAGTGTGGTAAGGTTTGGTACAGTGTAGTATGGTGTGGTACAGTGTGAAACAGTGTAGTAAGGTGTGGTACAGTGTAGTAAGGTGCAGTGCAGTATAGTGCGGTAAGGTACAGTGTGCTACAGTGTAGTAAAATGTGAAACAGTGTGGTGCAGTGTTGTACAGTGTAGTAAGATATGGTACAGTGTGGTGCAGTGTTGTACAGTGTAGTAAGATATGGTACAGTGTGGTGCAGTGTTGTACAGTGTAGTAAGATATGGTACAGTGTGGTACACACAACACGCGCTTCATCTCACCTGACACTCTGTCGGTAGTGTTAATACTCCAGCTGACGTCCTCCTGACTGTACAGAATGACAGACCTAAATCGTACGTACTTAGTACACCCGTTGCAATCTTTGTTAATCCAAGGAATTTCCTGAAACAATCACTGTATAAATAATTATCTC